GTGAGTTACAGTGATGATTTTTGGAGGTTAAACTGACCTTGTTTTCTTGAGATAAACTTCACGTTATAACACATTATCCTTCTCATTTATTGTTGGATTTGAATTGCTAAAGTTTTTGTTAGGAATTTTTGCATCCGTGTTCATGAGGTATACTGTTCCATATTTTTCTCCTATGCGTTCGTTGGCTAGTTTTCATATGTGGTAATGCTGGTCTCATGCTCCCTTTTCTTGTGTTTTCTGAGAGGTTGTGTAGAATTGGTATTATTTTTTCCTTACATATTTTCTTTTTTAAGATTTTATTTATTTATTCATGAGAGACACAGAGAGAGAGAGGCAGAGACACAGGCAGAGGGAGAAGCAGGCTCCATGCAGGGAGCTCGACATGGGACTGGATCCCAGGTCTCCAGGATCAGGCCCTGGGCTGAAGGCGGCGCTAAACCGCTGAGCCACCTGGACTGCCCTTTCCTTACATATTTTGTTGAATTTACTAGTAAGTCATCAATACCTAGGGTGTTGTGTGTGTGTGTGTGTGTGTGTGTGTGTGGGAAGGTTTTTAAGTATAAACTGAATTGTTTTTAATAGATATAAAACTATTCCTGTTACTCATTGCATTTTGAGTGAACTTTTGGTAGATTGTGTCTTCTAAGGAATTTTTTTTCATTTTATTCAACTTGTGAAATTGACTGGCATACCATTATTAGTATTCCTTTATCCTTTTAATGTCTGTAGTCTATATGTCCCCTCTGTCATGTCTGATATTAATTTATGTCTTTTCTTTTTTTCCATGACTAATCCAAATAGAGGTTTATCCATTTCATTGATCTATTCAAATAATTTTAGCTATTGATTTCTCTGATTATTTTTTTATTTCTTTATATCTTAATGATTTCTGTTCTCTATTATTTTAATTATTTTTAATTTGGACTTAATTTTCTCTCTTTCAAATTTATGGTAGAAACTTGGGCCATTGATTTTAAATCTTTATACTTTCATAATATACATGTTTTTTTTTAATTTTTTATTTTTTATTTATGATAGTCACACACACAGAGAGAGAAAGAGGCAGAGACATAGGCAGAGGGAGAAGCAGGCTCCATGCACCGGGAGCCCGACATGGGATTCGATCCCGGGTCTCCAGGATCGTGCCCTGGGGCCAAAGACAGGCGCTAAACCGCTGCACCACCCAGGGATCCCCATAATATACACGTTTAATGCTATAAGTTTCCCTCTAATTCCTGCTTGATCTACCTGCTACAAATTTAGGTTATCATGTTAATGTTAAATCGGTTTAAAATATTTTCAGTCCTCTGTTCTGCTCCAAATCTTCCTCCTGGGCAACTGATGGAGGTCCCTGGGAAAGGGCCTTTTTTTTTTTTTTTTTAAGATTTTTGAAAAATTTATTTGTTCATGAGAGACACACAGAGAGAGGAAGAAACATAGGCAAAGGGAGAAGCAGGCACCCCATGGGGAGCCCAATGCCAGACTCGATCCCAGGACTCTGGGATCATGCTCTGAGCCAGAGGCAGGCACTCAACTACTGAGCCAACCCAGGCATCCCAGGAAAGAGCTTTTGAGTGGCTTTGAACTCTTTTGTGTCTGGGGCTTCTATGTATTCCAAACTGTCACTGTAGTCCATACTTCACCTTTAAGAATTTGTTAAAAATGTAACTGATTTCTTATTACCTATTTGTATGAGAGGTAGGTAATAAGAAATCTTTCTCCTGTATTCTGTCAAAGGTTGAACAGATTATGTATCCATCTCTTAGAACATCTTGTTATTATGGAATTCAGTTTACTTGGTTGCTGTGTGGTTTCAGTTCCCTGATGGGCTCAAGAGAAGTTATGAATTTATAGATTGTTTCACGTTGTCCTTATTGTTAGAATGGGAGCCATGTTCTCTTTGGAAGCAAAGTATTTGTTAATCATATGTTAGAAATAGCTTGTTTTTCTGCCCAGAACCCCAGCTGGAAAGTCAATTTGGGATGCTGAAATTTAGTTACTTCTAAAATGTCATAACTATTTCATCAAACACACTCCCTTCAGGTCATACTGTGAAATATTTCTACAAGAACACTAACTTCTAAGAGTCCATTTCATAAAATTCTTTTCTTTGTAATATCACCTCAGATGCAACTTTGTTCTACACTTTTGAATGGACTCTTTTGTGAGCAGGCAAGGAAACAGCATTATTACTGGCTTTCTTATATAAACAGTTATGCAAGGTCAGGGTTGGGAAGGCCATCCAACGGTAAGTGGTCAATATGGCTACCAGCTGACTGGTGATTCAAAGATAATGAACAACTCATTTGCTAATGATCTTGGAACATTTCTGGTGTTGGTGATTTCATTATTTTTTAAGGTAGCCCATTTAATCTTTTGTTATTTTTGACAGTTATATTTTTCTTTGTTTTGAACCCACACTTTCCCTTCTATAGTCCATTTTTAGCTACTTGCTTCTCACTCTTTAATTCATTGGGCTATATAGCCTTGCATCTGGACCTATTAGTCAATAAATGTGAGCAGTGGCTTCTCAAAAGTTGTTTCATGGTAATCATTTTGAGTCCTCCTTACTTGATTCTGTTCTACTCTTCCTCCAAATACAGTCTCTACTTAGCCATGAACTCTGGCTAAAGTAACCCCAATTTTGAGCCTACTTCTGGTCTTTGAAAAAAAAATTGGTATTATTTTATATTGGTGTTTAGACTTCCCAGATTTTAAGTCTTAGCATTTCCTAATAGTGGTTTGCTATTTGGATTTGTGTTCTGGTTCTCTGTGCTCAGTGTTGTCTTGGTAAAGAAACTGCTTTAATTCCAGACCTTTGGAAGCCAAGCTCCATGATCATTTGTCAGCGGTCCCCAAGAGCAGGGAGGATTTGGGCAACTGTATCCTTGGCCCTCTTCCAAACACATTAATTCCGTCTTCTACTTAGAGTCCCTTCAGATGCTTGAAAGCTTTATATGCATTCTAGATCATCTCTTTTACAGGCTGCACCCTAGTATCTTCTAATATACTTCCTAGCATAGTAGAGGTTCAACAAAGAGAATGTGTTGATCCAACCATAGGTAGGTACCCAAATTGTTACATTTCCAAATTGATTTTTCTACTCTGCTTTCTAAATTTCTGATGGATGAAGATTCTAATTAATACAAATTCAACACATTATAAACCCTACTATCTTCACATTAAAAATTTTAGAAAAAGATACCTATGGACACAGCTTAAACTATTAAATAGTTCTGCAAAGTTAAAAAAGAGAGCAGTCTTTTACTTTCCCCCTTCCTTTCTCCCCAGTAGCAATCTGTTACCACCACAATCACTATTTTGATATTTACTCATTGTTTCTAAAGAACATGCTTATACACTCACTTTCTTTTGATGTTCAGTGTTTATGGGATCATGAGTATGTACCTGCTATTCTGAGATGAACCATGTAGTGTACTATGATTTGTATCCCTGGCCTGGACAAGCTTCTTTTTTCCTTCTTGTTTGCCTCTTGCTGGATTATTTTTCTATGTAGGTATCACTCATTCAATCCTTGTTGATTGTTTAACACTCCTTTGAAGATGTTCAGAAGTACCAGGAATCTACATTTCATCTTGTTGGAGAAATAGCTCACAGAGCCTTCTGACCCTCCCCAGTGTGTGGGCTGCCTTCTACCAGCTCATAGAGCACAAGTCAGAGCTCCCTTCCCCAGCACTTGGGGATTTTCCTTTCTTATCTTTTTCTGACACATCTCTTTTATGTTTTTCTCCCTTTTCCTTAGTTTGCTTTTTTGTTTGATCCTACCCTCGTACACCTTTCCGAGAAGGGATATGTGAGGATGTCTAAAATGACTTCATTCTACTCAAACATTTAAGCAATAGCTTAGCTGAGTGTAAACTATCCATTTTTCTTAGAATTTGGAGGCATTTTGCATCACCTTTTAAAAGACTTTTAATTTTGAAATGATTTTAGATTGACAGTAGAGTTACAAAGATAGTACAGAGTTCCTGTACACTCTGTATCTGGCTTGCCCTGTTGTTAACATTGTACATCACCGTGGTACATTTGTCAATACTTCAGAAATTAGTGTTGGCCCACTGCTATTAACTGACCTGCAGACTTTGGTCATATTTCACCAGTTTTTCCACTAACATCCTTTTGTTATCCTTTGTTCCAGGATCAAATCCAAGATATCAGGTTGAAATTAGCTCTCATGTCTCCTTAGTCTCCTCCAAACTATGATCAGTTGTTCAGTTTTGTGATTTTTAAGAGCTTTGAAACTGTGGAGAAGCACTGGTCAGTATTTTTGCAGACCGGCCCTCCATGGATTTGTCTGATGTCTTCTCATGTTAAAATGCTGGTTACAGATTTGAGGGACTATCACTGCAGTGGTGAAAGAACCCTTCATACCATATCAGGGGATACACCATATCAAAGTGAACTATTACTGGCAATGTTAACTTTGATCACTTGGTTAAGGTGGTATCTGCTAGGTTTTTCTCTGTGAGTTTACTAGTTTTCCCATGCCATTAGGCAAGTCACTAAGTCCACGCCGTGCTCAAAGGGAGAGAAATTAAGTTCCACCTCCTTGGGAGAGAAATGCCAGACAATTTGTGGACCTCAGTCAAAACCACTGTGATAACAAATAAATATTTGAAGGGGGAGGTATTTTGAGCTATGCAAGTATTCTTTTTCTCCTTAAAGTTTTCCCCACTAATGTTAGCAATCATCAGTTATCTCACCATTGCTTTTTAACTTCCAGTGTTACTGTCGGTAGAGCCTAACAGCTGGTCCTCAGAATTAGACTTTTCCTTGCAAGGAGGTTGTAGCATCTCTTCCTTCTTTCCTGTGTCCTGGAATTTCATAAAAATGTTTGGCAAGAGACTATTTGTATTGCCATGGTGTGAAGATATCTGCTTTAAAGGAAAAGTATATGTTGGGTTCTGTTATTTTGAGATAGGAACACAGGACTTGTACTTTCTTATATTTTTAATTCTTCTTTCCTTTCTCTCACACAGGGCTTACCACCCAAGAGATGGAAGGCAGACGTTAGCCACCTGAGTTGCCCGGAGCCTGCCGTGTTTGCTTTCTCACCTCTGGCTCCACATTGGAGCTCTTTGCGGGAGATGTGGATTCCAAGCTTTGAGCAATCCAAGAAAGAAGCCCAGGCACTGAGGTGGCTGGTTGATAGGAATAAAAATTTTTCAGCTCAAGAGTTTTGGGCCCTAGTATTCAAGGACTAATTTCTAAAAGTATCAGAATGATATAGACTAGAGATATCTTGAGGTTTATTTTCTAGGTTGCCTTAATATATGAATATCATAGCTACTTTGTTGACTATCCCTTAGGATAAGGATTAAGTGCCATAGTACTCATAATGAGTGCTCTCAGATCATGGCTGTGAATTACCCTTAGGGGTCACCTCTATATTTTTTATACTAAAAAAGTAAATATTTCTTATGGACACTTGTCACCTTCAGTTTACATATCTGTACTGATGTACCTGCTGCCTTTTGTGGAAATTCAGCTAATGTGGAGCGAGTACTCCCCTCACTGCAAGGGAGGCAGAGGGTGGAGCTGTGGAATCTTGATACTCACCTCACTGTCTGCAGTTTATTAGTAATTTGGCAAGCCCAGTGTCCTGATGCTGAGCATGAACATGAAATGCATTAGAACTTGGCAATGAGAGATTCCATCTGTTGGTTTCCAGGGATGAATGAGTAATAAAAGCTGTGTGAATTTTATCCGCTTTTTCTCTTCAAGTCAGAAGAACGTATACATCTACCTTCTGCTTACTCTTACTACCTCTCTTCCTTCTTTTCATCTTGCCCTGCATCCTGTCCCACTTTCCTCCCAAAGTGGAATGTCTTATGAAGATGTGCCTCCTCCTTGTGTGTTTTGAAAGGTGAGATGTTCTCAATTGTCCCTCATACTGCAGAGCAGAATAATAATCATATGTTCCAGGCTGGACACCCTGTACTTTTCGATCAATATAAGGGTGGAAGTGAGTGCCCTCAGGAACTCCAGTTGTTTTGAAAGTGATTTTTCCTTTCCTTTCTTTTTTTTTTTTAAGATTTTATGTATTTATTCATGAGAGACAGAGAGAGAGAGAGAGACAGAGACACAGGCAGAGGGAGAAGCAGGCTCCATGCAGGGAGCCCGACGTGGTACTCGATCCCGGGTCTCCAGGATCACGTCCCGGGCTGAAGGCGGCGCTGAACCACTGGGCCACCGGGGCTGCCTTCTTTTCTTTTGTTTTCTTTTCTTTTCTTTCTTTTTTTTTTCTTTTCTTTTCTTTAAAAGATTTTATGTATTTATTCATGAGAGACACAGAGAAAAAGGGAGAGACACAGGCAGAGGGAGAAGCAAGCTCCCTACTGTGGGACTCCATTCCAGGACCCCAGGATCATGCCCTGAGCCAAAGGCAGATGCTCACAACCACTGAGCCACTCAGGTGCCCCTGATTTGTCTTTTCTTAGGATGATATACAGCCTGTAATAGTGGTCAGCCCACTCTAGTTGATGAGCATTCCCTGTCATTTCTGATCCTGTCAGAGAGAAGGTTTGGCCGTCTTGTTGAGAGCATCCACTGGAGCTCCATGAAAGAAGAGGGGAAAAGAGTAGCTCACATTTTCTTCCCATGTGAGGGGGGAAGGCTTTTAGAGGATACTAAAACCTCTTGCCACCAGACGAGTCATGTCTTTGGTGCTGTTTATTGTGGAAAGATGTAAGCACCGAAGGACAGGGAGAGTCCTTAATTCTCATGTCCCCAGTGTGATGTATAGGAGAAATTCAGGTTGGGTCCCGTGGTGCCAGTCCCCCCTTTACCCAGTCCAGTGGCTTTATGTGCCAGCATGAGCAATATCTTTCATGGGTAGTGCTCTCTCTGGCTGTGCTGGAGGAATGAGGATAGAAACCAGCACCTGCTCTTAGAAGCAGGAAAGGTCACGTTGCTGGGTGGGAGAAGGTTCTATGACTGGGTTTTTCTCAATCCCAGCACTGCCATTAAGTGAATGTGATTTGGTACCAATCTCTGAACCTCCCTGAACTTTAGTTTTTATACCTAAGAAGAAGTGATTGGGCTGGTCATTGTTCTTTTATGTGTAATGTTCTTTATCAAAATTAAGAAGTTTGATTTTGTTTTTAGATGTTTTTACTTAGGCAGTTCACAAGTCATTTAGAACCACTGCATAGTTTTCAAAGGAAGAAAGCTCTTTGGAGGAAGAAGTATACTTCTTGGGTAGTATTAGGAATAGAAAGTAGGTTATCTCTGCCATTTTTTTCTGATATTATCCAAAAGGAAAGCATTGGAAAGAGGTATTGCTTGTTACAGACCAGATTTTAAATTGTATATTGAGTGATTTTTGTTGTTGTACTCTTCAGAGAAAGCCCAGGATGTGCATCTGGTAAGTTATTATCCGAAATCTCCAGTTGTCCATAAATGCCTTAAAACAGATACCCAGTGCTCATATGCTGCACGTATGTTTTAAACCTCAACATTGCATGTAGTTTTGTTCTCTCTTGGTTCTTCATCAGGACTCCATAGATAAAACTCTCCCTAAACTTTTCTCAAGTACGTACCCCTGAACACACTTAGTGAAATGAAATAATCGGTCATTTAATGTGGCATAAACATCTTGTGGGAGAAGAGGTCGGAAGAGAGGGAGTTCCATAGGATTGAAAATGTTTCAACGAAAATAAATTAGGAGTTTTTTTGGGACTCTATGAGTATCTGTAGATTTGAGACTTTATCATTATTATTATTATTTTGTTTAACACATACATCTATAATAGGATTTTCATTAATAAGATGGTACCTGCATGTACGATAATTGCTATCATGGAGTGAGGGGCATGGCCCCACTGTACCAGGATTCTTATCTTCAAATAGGGAGCTGTGTGTTTTTGAGTTCCATGTCAGTGACATTGTATTTGTTGATCCCATGAGGCCACACCTTTCTTTTGACTTTACTGTCTCCATTTGTGAACTCTGATTAACAGAGAGTCCTGTCTCACAGGGCGACTATGAGGAATGGCTCATGGCTGTGAAGGTAGATAGAAACCTTTTCAGAAATGTTGAAGGAAGTGCTCACTAATGCTAGTCAGCAGTCTTCACATGTTCATCTGAAAATGAGGTAACTTTGACCTTTGACCATGGAGAATTTTAAAATTTCAGAAACTGATTGTGGACTGGCTAATTTGTTGCTAAAAAGAACTAGAGTCTAGTAACTAGAGTATCAATTGAATTGTTGTCATTATTAGTACAGATTGAATACATATAGTGTCGTACCCACTACTAGGAAGTAGAAGACATAAGCAAAAATGAACATCATTGCTCTGAGTTACACATTGTAAATTACACATAAGAGAGCAAGCCTAATCTCTATAAAACACTGTACAAATCCAAGCATAGTGCATATCTGAAGTTGAAATGTCCAGCATAATACTGTACATTTAAAAAAATCATTAGTGTCACTCGTAATTCCTGCTGAAGATGACATGGCATTAGGGGAATCCAATGTAGAGTAATTTTCAGTGAGTGATATTATCTAAAGCATCATGGATACAACTCTACATAAATGACATGTCTTTCTTGGAATCTTCAAAATATAAAATGTAGAAGTTCACAGGCTGAGAATAATGGTGTTTAGTTTTTATTTCAAATAACTTTGCAATCCCGAATGTTCTGTAAAGAACTTTCTTACCCTTCTTTAGGGAATTTCTTTGCTTTGTTTTCACTTTTGTTGTTGTTGTTAGTGATACTGTTTTTACTGCATAATTCTAATATCAACGTATATCTTTAATTTCTTCTGATTACAGAAATAAAAATGCTTACAAAACTTGGAAAATTGAATTATGAATATATCATCTAAAGATGATATCTTGGGGGCACCTGGGTGGCTCCATCGGTTAAGTGTCTGATTCTTGATTTTATCTCAGCTCATGATATCAGGGTCATGGGATTAAACCCCTATTTGGGCTCTGCACTCAGCAGGGAGTCTGGTGGAGATTATCCTTCTCCCTCTCTCTCCGCCCCTCCCACTCATGCTCTCTCTCTCTCTCTTTCTCTCTCTAATAAATTAATAAATCTTTAAACAAAAAGAAAGATGGTAACTTGGCCAAGTTATTTGGCTGTTCTAAGCTTCAGTTTGCTCACCAGGAAAAGCTTATTAAGTGTCCAACTGCTCTATGAGGTTGTAAAGTGTAAAAAGCCAGTATTCAGACTTCATTCCATAAATGCTAGCTGTAACTCTTACGGCTCTCTGTGGTTATCACCCTTTGTTTGTGATGACCTTGATTGAGATTTACACAGAACAAAGGAATGGCTAATCATAGTACCAGCGATGATGGTACCCTTATAAATGGTACTAAATAAACTAAATGTTCTCCGTTTAGTTATCTGATACATATTGTTATGAGATAGGCATTGTGCTTTGCATGTTAGCAGATGCAAATCAGACATGGGAGAGGGCTATGAAGGGTTCTGGGTAAGGCTTTGTGATATTATGATTGTATTAAAGCCAGGGACCTAGGAATGCTCAAATTGTACTGTCTCTCCCCTTCATGGGATTTCTGATGGAGTTTTACACTAAGCTCCTAATAGAGTAATGGAAATCAAACAACTTTTTATAGTAGCTGTGCAAACCCAGCTAAACCCAGTGCAGTGATCTCTGGCAAAGGCTTTTCAATTTTGCCAATCTCAATCTTGGGAGGAGCCTAGTGTGCCCATAACAGGAGAGAGGAAAGAGGTGACCAGGTCAGGAGGTCCTGCTCCTTCTAAGTACTACATTTTACTTGTTAACTGGAAAAAAAAAAAAAAAAAAAGGAGAAGACTGCTCAGGACTTCTGCTGGGAGACAAGCCCCATTTTGCTCTTTATATTTATTGATGCAAGAATATGAGTGCAATGCGTGGGAGCCCACCTTTAAGTCATAGTAACCTCACTGGCTAATAAAATATGGCCTATCAATATCTTGAGCCTAACCCATTAAATTAGCGACCCCATTGGTGCTGGTGGTGCATATTATTAAGGAGATGGACACGAGGCAGGGGTGTGGGGAGGAGCAGGAGTGATCTTCCATGATTTTTGTTTTCTCAACTCATTGGGCTTAACAGCCAAGCTGTGGTCAGTTGGAGATGGAGCTGTTTCCCTAAGGGGTGTGACCAGTCATGATACACAGAGACTCCTTCACCTTGCTGAGGCTTCTTCCCAGATATTTATCCTTGCTCCTTTGGGTCCCCCTGGAACCACTGACATGAGCAGTTGAGCGATTGTCTCTGAATCTTCTGAAATGAATCAGAACTGCACACTGATTAATACCTCCAAGCATGTTTTGAGCATTAGGTCAAAATTTGATTTATCATGCAAACCATGGATCACATCATCCAACCTAGCTCACCAGAGGAGGTTGTACAACCAGCCCAAATAGTCTATTATGGATATTTTGAATTTTACTATCACAGACTGCTTAATTTAAAAAAACCTGATTGAGTAGGTAAATAAATTTAAAGACCATCAGGGTGGGTAGGGGGGGTGTTATTAAGGGTTTTGAGGCAGGGGCATTATCTTTCCTGGGAGCCTGTGAAAGCAGCCTAACATAACTTACTTCTTACAGAGTAAACATGACTATGGGCACTCATCTAGTAAATCATACGGGAAAAAAAGCAGGTTTTATTTTAAAATGTCCTTGATGAAGCAATAAAAATGATTGATTTTATTAAAACTTGATCTTTTGAGTACATGTCTTTTTAATATTCTGTGTGACAAAATGGGGAGTGTACATAAGTCACTTCTACGTACCAAAGCACAACAGAAATTGCAAGGAAAAACACTTGTGTGATTGAGTTGTGAGCTAATCTAGCAGCTTTTTCATGTAATATCATTTTTACTCAAAAGAGCACCTAGCAAACTACGGATATTCAGGCTTACATTTTTGTCAGTCATTTCCATGAAAACAAAGTGAGATGTGACAGCACTTTAAGAAAACTGGTAGAAGTTGTTGTCCATGATAACATTTCAGCTTTTGAATGAACAAGTTTTGGAAAACTAATTTCTACCA